GGGTCAACTTTTTTAAAAACAGTGCGTTGAACACTACTATTTTCCATCTTTGTGAAGAAATGGGAGCTTCATTTCAACAGTCACTACTACACACGGTCGTAAGGTGTGCCGTGCCATAATCCACGCGGTTATTTGCCGGCTTCCCACCGCGGCGACCCGGGTTCGAGCCCAGGTGAGTTAATGTGGGATTTATGGTGGACAAAGTAGCACTGGGGTAGGTTTTCTCCGAGCATTTCGATTTTCCCTGCCAATTCTAATTCCACCGACTGCTCCACATTCATAATCTATCATCTAGTGCTGGTACAATAGTCCAATTAGTGGCCATCCTGCAGCATAGTACTCACTTGGTCATATTAATTAAAAGCGGAAGTTCATGAACTTCTGCAACGGGGAAAATATGACTCGGCTGAAAATTTCTGGGTAGTCGTTTGGTTGGCAAAAATTGCATGTTTAGTAAGTAACTTTCATCTGTTAAATGGGTTTAATTTAAGCCTGTAAGATTCAATGAAAACTATCTTTGATACACACGGCAAAATTTAAGATTTTAAAAACACATCCGTACTTCTGTCAAAGAAGAATTAATCGAAAAGCTTTCGATATATGCCCTGAATTTTCGTAGATCATAGATGATGAAGTTGGCTTTAAAGCCAACTTCATCAATAAATATTTATGTCCGTATGTGGAATACCGTACTAAAAGTCTCTACGAAAATGTTGAGGAATGCTTCCCAGAATATTTTAACAAAGGCGCAGGAGATTTTTGGATATTTTATTTACTTATTTAACATTTAAACAACGAAATTGCGTGTAAAGGAGAAAAGTTGCTGGCAGATTTATCAAAATACACCATATTAATATTTTAAAACAAAATGACCTGGAGCAGCCAGTTTCCTAACTGATGTCGTAGACCAATGTCCCACAATTAACACAGGGGATTTAATTTCAGTCCCACTGGTTTTCCTGGATCTTCCTAACAGCATATTCTAAAGCAAAGTTGAAAAGTAATGGCTTCATGAATCTCCTTGAAGAATTCTATCTTCTGGAATATAACGCCGTGTATCTCATTTAAAGACGTCGGATGTTCTGAAGGAATATATCGCCTCCATCTTCAGGGTCAAAAATAAAACGTACAAGATACCATCGTCAAGGCAGATAGCTTCCTTTGCCATCTACTTACAGACTGCTATCTTTCACGGCTTATTCTTCGACCTTAATATAGAAGTGATACATTCCTCCGAAACGTCGGTTGACATTGAACAGACTCTTCTCTTCATAACTGCAGCTCTGAGAAAATCAAATCCTACAAAAAATTCCTTGTTTCAGGCCATCATAAGAAAAGTATCACAAAATATTAAGTGTACGGAATTTGCTTTGCATTTCATATAAACACATTTCAATTAGCCTAACTAGTTTCATATGTGCCAAAACTCTATGAGAGTATTGTAAAATACCGCCTTTCTAACTGAATCATAGGTTCGCTTGCAAGTCCATGAATCTCTAATGTACGGTTTCACTGTATTCTCATTTTTCTCCGCTATTTGAGGAATGCAAAAGATCCGATCAGTAGTTGATCTGTTACATCGAAACCCACACTGATGATCCCCAATAATTTTATCTACATATGGAATTAATCTTGAGAGAAGAATATTCGATACACTTCTGTATGAAGTTGATGGCAGCAACATCCCACGATAATTATTAGGGTCGGTTTTGCCGCCCTTCCTGTAAATTCGTACATGAATAGAGTCCTTCCGCTGATCATGCAATTCTTCCTCATTCTAAATAAAAATTAACGAGTTTATGGATCTGAGACGGTAATGTGCCACCCCATACTTGAATCAGTCTGCCGGAATTTGATTACTATCTGGTGATTTATACTTTTTCGACGTTGCAATAGTAATTTAAACCTTAAAAAGACTGGGATCAGGTACTAACGGCTCAGCTGTTATGTATATCTATCTACCTTACATCACTGACCCTATATCAACTACATTCAATAACTGAGAGAGGTAGTTCTTCTAACTGTTCAAAATATAGTGGGAATCTCCAAGCATATCACCATTCTCATCCTTCGCTAAGTTACTTCTAGGTTGGTGACCCCTCTTAAATTCAATCATTCCTCTAAACAGGTGTCTAATTTCCTTGTTCTTGCTGTTCAGTGTAAGCTCATTAATACCGTCTTTCATACATTCCTCTTCTTATTCCTGAAATGCCTGCTGACTTCACGTCTTATAATGTTCAGATTGTCCCTGTTTGATTCGCATGAATCCTGTAACAACTGCAATCCGGCTTGTTTACTTTGATATAATTTTGGATACTCCTCTTCGAACCATGGCTTACACTTCTTTAATTCATAACATCCTACACTCGCTTTGGTTAAAATTGTTATATTCTGTGTAATAGTTTCCCATGTTCTATTAATAACATCAATATCATGTCTGTTTTCCGAAGCTGCGAACCTATTTGAGATTTCAACCCAGTACTGCTCTTTGCCCTCCACCTCATTCAATTTCCAAACAATGAAGCTCTCCATATCAAATTTTGTGTGTTGTCAGTTTACTCACTACCAGTCTGTCCCTAACGTTTGCCACCACTAGATGGTAGGTAGTCAGCACCTCAGTCATTTCCTCTGAACGACTGTACATCAAGTACACTTGAATTCCTCCATCCGCAACCCGAGGACGCGCCATGCCGTGGTGACAAGGGGAACATTTAACATGGCCAGGTTATAGAACGAAATAAATTAATAGAAGTGTGTGAGAAAATAGGTGCAGACACACAAGGAAATTTCAGAATTATGTTACGTAAGATAGAAGGCCCAGTAAAAGCAAGGACAAGAATAATAATAGCGAACAACAAAATTTCACTTAAATTAGTGTCTATAATAGGAGGATTACGTTGAAACTTCGCCTCACTACAGCAGGAAGTTGGCATTGAAAATGTACAGTTTCCAGCCACAAGTGAAACGTCTATATAATTCGGCCCGTAGGTCAGGGCTGAACAAACTACAGCCTTCAAGACTAATATGGCCCCCATGACATAAATTATAATCCGTAAGAAATATTTTTACTCTTTGGAATCGCTTTCTGAAAACGCAAGGGGAGCACAGAAGTAAAGATACACGCATTCTACCATTCGGAACTGTTCTGTTTTGAAAGAGTCACTTTCATAATCCATGCACCAAGGAACTAATCTTACGAAGGATAAAATAACTGAATGACGCGCAAGCTAGAACGCGCGCGCACGCACGGTATATCATTAAATTCAAAGGAAATTCCAGTGGCAGTCATGACCTTGTTTGGCTTCAGATCGGTGTGTCTCGTGTGTTTTTTTATTTGCCAAGGGCGTAAAAATGTTACTTTGTTTTTGGCAGGTCGGGTGAAATATAGGAATTATAGGAAAATTATTATAAAAATTATATTATATTATATTATATTATATATTATATTAATTATATTATAAAAATTATATATCAAAATTAACAGTGGAATGCAAATGATGGACTCTAATTATTTGCATAATTATACATACGTGTACGCACACATATTACACGTATAATACATACATACATGCAATTTGTGCAGTATCCGTGATTTGGGCTCATCCACTTTATTCACTCTTTGCTTATAAAACAGCACTTTCGCAATAAAGCAAAGTAAAGTTGTCCTGTGCTTAATTATGCATTACGCTATAAAGGCGTATGGGGGAGTGGATGCATAGATCCATGATTTCTTCATCTCGACACTAGTTGTAGGTAAATGGTGAGCTTCACGAGCCGGCTGCTTTACTCCCCTAGTAATAGCATCCCGTACCCATTCAATATGAGTTTGAGTGGACCCCAAAGCTTGTCTGGTTGACTTGGACACGAGAAAATTCTTGATACTACCGAGTCTCGAATTCTGACCCCGCGGTCTTCCAGCCCCTAGCCAGCGTACGAGTATAGCCAGACTGCACAATACTTCAAGAAAACGTGGTAAAATAGATGAAGTCATCTATCAATAGCGTAACTTAGAAAGACGAGACAAGCCGTGTATACAACTAAAGGATATTAGCTACCGACAGACGATAATTAATAGCGGACGTAAGTCTTGTGACTTGTATCTTGAGAGTGTCAGTTACAGAACTCGGCCAAGACGTCCCTATCCTGACTGAGGTTTATACAAAATGTCCGAAATCTCTCCATGCAAGCCCTAAAACACAACCTGAAACTAGGCCACGACCACTTCCTGCCAAATACATTTCTATCCATTTTTCTTAAATCATACTATTCGACGCTATATAGTCAGAGCTGCGGATTAACTAACTTCGTGGAGCTGATCCCTTCTTGAGAAGCCGCCAGACACGCAGCTACTCAAGAACTTCCCAGCATGTTATGGAACCCGATGATTCTATCCCCTGCCCACAAGAGCCCTCCATTGGTCCCTATTCTGAGCCAGATAAATCCAATCCATACCACCCCATCCTCTACCTATAAGACCCATTTTAATATTACCCACCCACATACGTCTTTGTCCCCCTAGTAACCTCTATCTTTCTGGCTTTCCCACCAATTTCCTATAGGCATTCCTCTTCGCCCCAATTCATGCTACATGCCCTGTCCATCTCATCCTCCTTGACATGATCATTCTAACTATACTTGGCGAAGAGTATAAGTTCTGAAGCACCCCATTATGCAGTTTTCTCGAACCTCCAACCACTTGATTACACTTCGGTCCAAATATTCCCCTCAGCACCCTCTTCTCAAACGTCCTTAATCTCTGTTCCTACCTTAATGTAAGAGTCCAAGTTTCACACTCATGCAAAACCACAGGCAAAATTAAAGTTCTGTATGTTTTAATTCTCAAATTTTTAGACAGCTAAGGAGTTAACAAAAGGACCTGGGCTGAGCTACTGACAGCGGCCTTGACTAAGCAGTCATTTACATTGCCAGCTTTGCGGATATGAATGAGGTTAATATAAAAAAGTAATATTTCATTTCAACAGTCATTTGGTATGCTTCAGGAACTGCGCTGATGGTACTGCTGCTCTTCGTGGCTGGCGTGGACTCATGGAGATGGGGTTCAGAGTCTTCTTGTCCTCCAGGACCGGAACCACAATGTCCAGAGAATCCTGTGGAAGACGCTTCAAACTACTTCCCTCACCCCACTGACTGTCACTATTACATCCAGTGTGACAGCAGCAGGAGACCGATCTGCAGGCGCTGCTCACCGACGACGTACTTCAACCCCAAAACTTTCAACTGTGTTTGGCCGCTTCAAGCGAGCTGTGAGCACAATGAAACAACCAGAAGGGAGAGTCTGCTGCCGCCAATATGCGGCCCAGACAGAGAGTGCTATGGAGAAGGGGAGACAGAGAGGGATTACGTGGAATGTTCGCGTTATTACGTATGCAGGAATGGGACTAAAGTGCGAATGGAATGTCCGGAAGGGCAAGCATTCAATGCCCGGCAGGGTATATGCGATGAACCCGAAAACGCTGGTTGTGATGATTTTACGTACTTAGAAGACAGGCGATGTGCAGAAGAAGGGAAGCCAATTAAAATTGATTGTCACTCATATGTTATATGCAAACATGGCAAGAATGAAACCTACAGGTGTAACGCAAATCAATATTTCGATGAGGCAACTAGAACATGCCAACCAGGATCCTGTGATAAACCCATCTGCGAGGATAAAGAAGATCCTACAGATTGCAATTATTACTTCAAGGACTGTAATCGAAGGACAAAATGTCCAGAGGATAAGCATTTTAATAAGAAGACAAAACATTGTGAAAACCAGTGCACTGCTGGCTGTAAGAATCCTAATGAAATTCCACAGTGCAGACAGTGCCAAGAGGAAAGTAAGATACTGCAATTTGATTGCCACTCCTACACTATCTGTAAAGATGGAAAAATAGTATCTTTCAATTGTCGAGCAGATCAGAGGTTCGATGAGTTATCAGGAACTTGTAAGGCAGGCTCCTGTAAAACTTTTTGCGAAGACAGGGAAGACCCTACAGACTGTAATTATTATATAAAGGACTGCGATCAAAGAACAAGGTGTCCTGACCACCAGCATTTCAACCGCCAAACCAGGCGCTGTGAAAATCAATGCACAGCTGGCTGTAAAGATCCGAAAGATATTCCACAGTGCAGACAGTGTGAAGAAGGACAGATACAGCAATACGACTGTCACTCCTACAACATATGCAAAGGAGGCAGAATAGTTAATATCATATGCCGCACTGATCAACATTTTGACTCGATTAGTGGCATATGTAAACCTGGTCCATGTACTCCACCAACATGCGAGGATAAAGAAGATCCTACCGATTGTAATTACTACATAAAGAATTGCAACCAACGGACAAGGTGCCCTGCAGGACAACACTTCAACAAGCTAACGAAACGTTGCGAAAATCAGTGCACAGCTGGTTGCCAGGACCCAATTAATATTCCGCAATGTAGACAGTGTAATGAAGAAGGCAAAATATTGCAATATGATTGTCATTCCTACGCCACATGTACAGGAGGTAAAGTAGTGTCTGTAAAGTGTAGAGTTGATCAATATTTCGATGTGACTAGTGGCACATGTAAAGTAGGATCCTGTAATCCTGAACCCTGCGAGGATATAGAAGATCCTACCGATTGTAATTACTACATAAAGAATTGCAACCAAAGAACAAGGTGTCCCGTAGGACAACACTTCAACAAGCTAACGAAACGTTGCGAAAATCAATGCACAGCTGGTTGCCAGGACCCAATTAATATTCCGCAATGTAGACAGTGTAATGAAGAAGGCAAAATATTGCAATATGATTGTCATTCCTACACCACATGTACAGGAGGTAAAGTAGTGTCTGTAAAGTGTAGAGTTGATCAATATTTCGATGTGACTAGTGGCACATGTAAAGTAGGATCCTGTAATCCTGAACCCTGCGAGGATATAGAAGATCCTACCGATTGTAATTACTACATAAAGAATTGCAACCAAAGAACAAGGTGTCCCGTAGGACAACACTTCAACAAGCTAACGAAACGTTGCGAAAATCAATGCACAGCTGGTTGCCAGGACCCAATTAATATTCCGCAATGTAGACAGTGTAATGAAGAAGGCAAAATATTGCAATATGATTGTCATTCCTACACCACATGTACAGGAGGTAAAGTAGTGTCTGTAAAGTGTAGAGTTGATCAATATTTCGATGTGACTAGTGGCACATGTAAAGTAGGATCCTGTAATCCTGAACCCTGCGAGGATATAGAAGATCCTACCGATTGTAATTACTACATAAAGAATTGCAACCAAAGAACAAGGTGTCCCGTAGGACAACACTTCAACAAGCTAACGAAACGTTGCGAAAATCAGTGCACAGCTGGTTGCCAGGACCCAATTAATATTCCGCAATGTAGACAGTGTAATGAAGAAGGCAAAATATTGCAATATGATTGTCATTCCTACACCACATGTACAGGAGGTAAAGTAGTGTCTGTAAAGTGTAGAGTTGATCAATATTTCGATGTGACTAGTGGCACATGTAAAGTAGGATCCTGTAATCCTGAACCCTGCGAGGATATAGAAGATCCTACCGATTGTAATTACTACATAAAGAATTGCAACCAAAGAACAAGGTGTCCCGTAGGACAACACTTCAACAAGCTAACGAAACGTTGCGAAAATCAGTGCACAGCTGGTTGCCAGGACCCAATTAATATTCCGCAATGTAGACAGTGTAATGAAGAAGGTAAAATATTGCAATATGATTGTCACTCCTACACCACTTGTAAAGCAGGTAAGATAGTGCCTATAATGTGTAGACTTGATCAATATTTCGATGTGACTAGTGGCACATGTAAAGTAGGATCCTGTAATCCTGAACCTTGCGAGGATAAAGAAGATCCTACTGATTGTAATTACTACATAAAGAATTGCAACCAACGGACAAGGTGCCCTGCAGGACAACACTTCAACAAGCTAACGAAACGTTGCGAAAATCAGTGCACAGCTGGTTGCCAGGACCCAATTAATATTCCGCAATGTAGACAGTGTAATGAAGAAGGCAAAATATTGCAATATGATTGTCATTCCTACACCACTTGTAAAGGAGGTAAGATAGTGTCTGTAAAGTGTAGAGTTGATCAATACTTCGATGTGACTAGTGGCACATGTAAAGTAGGATCCTGTAATCCTGAACCCTGCGAGGATATAGAAGATCCTACCGATTGTAATTACTACATAAAGAATTGCAACCAAAGAACAAGGTGTCCCGTAGGACAACACTTCAACAAGCTAACGAAACGTTGCGAAAATCAATGCACAGCTGGTTGCCAGGACCCAATTAATATTCCGCAATGTAGACAGTGTAATGAAGAAGGCAAAATATTGCAATATGATTGTCATTCCTACGCCACATGTACAGGAGGTAAAGTAGTGTCTGTAAAGTGTAGAGTTGATCAATATTTCGATGTGACTAGTGGCACATGTAAAGTAGGATCCTGTAATCCTGAACCCTGCGAGGATATAGAAGATCCTACCGATTGTAATTACTACATAAAGAATTGCAACCAAAGAACAAGGTGTCCCGTAGGACAACACTTCAACAAGCTAACGAAACGTTGCGAAAATCAATGTACAGCTGGTTGCCAAAAACCAGAGGATATTCCACAGTGCAGGCTGTGCCAAGAAGGCGAAATACTGCAATACGATTGTCACTCCTACACTATATGCGAAGGTGGCAAGTTAGTTCCTGTCACTTGTCGTGCAGATCAATATTTTGACGTCTTAAGTGGTACGTGCAAAATCGGATCATGTGACCCTAACCCTTGTGAGGATGTGGAAGATCCCGCCGATTGCAATTATTATTTCACTAATTGTAACCAGAGAAAAAAGTGTCCTCAGGGTCAACATTTTAACAGGAAAACTAAACGTTGTGAAAATCAGTGTACTGCTGGATGCATAGACCCAAGCAAAATTTCGGATTGTCACTTATGTGAACCAGAAGGGAAAACATTTGAAGACCCTTGTAGTTGTGAAATGTATTATGTATGTAAGGGTGGCGTGAGAGTTATTGCTATGTGTGATGATGGTCTCCATTACAACAGAACACTGGCTCAATGCGACGTGCCGTGTAGCGATACATGTCCGAAATTGTTCGCTAGAAAACCCGAATGCTGTGCCTCAACGAAAGGAAAACCCGAACCGCTGTGTCCTTCAACCACATATTCCGTGTTCCTGCCTCATCCGAGTGACAGTCGCTGGTTTTATCAGTGTCAACAAGGCGTTCTTTACTGCAACAGATGTCCTCCTGGATATAAATGGAATACTGATGAAGACACCTGCGATAAATCTTGCCAATGTCCGTGAGAAAATATCCTGCTGTGAAGTGTGGAACCAAAGCAGACATTGCATCAGTCGCTCCACTAAAAACGAAACTATTACATTACCAAAATGATTTGTGGCGATCAACATGGTAAAGACAATGTTCCTGAAGCAAGACTTCCAGCCACAGAAAATGTATTGTAATTTCCATCTTCAATCATTTGCCGAAATTGCCTGTATAATCTATTCCACCATACATTACAGCGGTCCAAGTAGTCTTTCTACGGGTTTGGTTTAAAGGCTGCTGAGTATCGCCTCTCTCCTTCCGCAGTCCGAATTGTGAGGAATGCCAACCTCTAAGTCTGCATAAGTTTCTGTCTTCATACCAACCAAACAATCGTATATTCTGGAGTATCTTTAGAGTGAAGATACTAAACGAAATTTATCTGCAATACTCTTCTTTTCAAGTATGTGAATTAATATTTTGTTCAATGATTCACATTTTGTCAATGAGGAAATAAAATTTCCATCCTTCCTAACTACAGAAAAATAAAGAACAATAGAAGAATTGTAAGTTTTGAGGTTTTCACGGCGATGACAATGAAGAAAGTCGTCTTCTGGGATCTGGCGCCGTGTATTCTTCGTTTTGGTCGACGTCGGCCAAAACGAAGAATACACGGTGCCTAAACCCAGAAGACGACTTTCTTCATTTAATAGAAGAATTGTTTGTAAAGCGCTCTCTTAAATTATTTAAATCAAAATAACGAACGATGTGCAGAGTTTATTCTCTACTGAAAATGTTATTATAATGAGACATACATGACGTTATAAGTTTCGAAGGAATAGCTAGCCAATGAAACACCATGTTGCTTTTATATACGTGATGCCCATGATACAGTCATCTATAATAAGCATTCACAACAAAGCAACAAACACGCCTCCAATAATAGATTTTTAAATCATTTTGTTGGTTGATTCATATTTACCAGCGGAACGCCTACAATATTTGTAAATAAAACGCATTTACAATAATTCGTGCATTTCGTTGTAGCTCGGTAATGCATAATAATATTATTCAGTATATTCTTAACATTAGTGTCTGTTGTAGCGGTATGAAAATACATGCGCAGGCGCACCACAGGTAGGAAGAAGAGGAAGAAAGGGCCACTATCCCCAGTTCCGTTTACTTACACGCATTTCAATGAAGTGCGCCAAAATTCGAGCCCTCACTTAAAATTGTAATCTCTTCTGACCTTCATCACCCATAATAATTTTTCAGTTACATATTGATTTCTTCCCATCACAATTTAGCCCACAATCTAAAGTTCGTTGCAGTATTGGCGGTTATATTACAAGCGGTATAAATATCTGGTTAGTACAGTTTGTCTTTGTGACGTGACTCTAAAAGAAGAATGATTTTTCTTCAGCAATAACTTTACAAATGGAAACATCATTCTAATGTGTACTCGTATGTGATAGGAGTCTATAGCATTAAAGAATTTGTATTAACACTGCCTTTATAATGCTTTCACTGCCAGAATAATTATTTTTATTGGATAAATTGTGTTTCAATGTTGCCAATTTAAAAAACAAATTTATTCATTTAAAACAAGAAGTTGTCATTCTCGTGGGTATACTTCAGGCATTTACTCGATCTCCGGCTCTTCATCAAGTACCAGTTTGTACTTTGAAGTCTTTACAAAAGCAACAGCTAACTCTAATATCAGCCTCAACTTAGATTCTGTACAACTTTAATATGCGCTATGGCAACTTGACTAATTTGTAAAGGGGACAAACGTACAAGACAGACACTGTTACTATTATTCTTATGTTTTCTACTGTAAATTTATTTACTATACGAATGGTTAGTTACCGTTTGTTGTTAAGGTTTGACCTAACATAAGTTCAAGTGGGATTGTAAGGTGACTTTATTTTCACATTTCATAATATTAGTAATTTTGTAATAACAAGTACTTAAAACTCCATGAATTCATTACACCTTACACGAATTTTCCGAAGATAGAGAGATGAAATTGTGTTTAAAAATACAATTCTTTTTCTGTAATATTTCTGAAAATAATATGCAAGAAGTTCCGAGCATGTCTTACACGAAACAAGAACCAGACTTCTGTCGATCCTCATTAATTTGGAAGAAAGTTACATGTGGAAAACTCTTGCTTAGGTATAAGTGAAATATAACTTAACGACAGGAGAACGTAGCCTATATATTCCACTTTAACTTCTCATAGCCAAATAAAGGATCAGTCGAAGAAGGGTAAAACACATGCTACATTTTTCATTATCTGATAACCAAAGAATGTACAGATATATTGTTGAATTTGTTACGAACGTACATAGCAGTAAAAATGCCAATTCTATATTTGTGATCTCAGTTTTACTACGTTTTGTTGGCATTTCTGGTTATTGCAAAAGTTGTCTCTACGTTCTGGAGAACAGTTCTTCTATTTTGTTACACAAATATGCTTGAAATGTTAATTTAGAAAAATCCAATTTAATATTTTATATGTAAAATACAGATCAATAAACTAGAGCTAAAGATTATTTTATAACCCTGTTGGTTATTCATATGTTTTATTTGGGTAATTAATTAATCCAACAATCCTTTACCTTGTTGTCCTCTTACTCTGTATGTAAACACACGTTTCAGATATCCCTGAATAAATAAATAGCTACATCAGCAAGTCAAGCAATCCGCTCAGGGGCACAGAATCCTCCTTAAGCAGTGCGAAGCTTTTCTTTCTCGTAAGAAAATTGCCTTCGACTCCTGCTTGCATTCTACACACCAATGAGCTCGCAATCTTCTTTTTCTAACCATCTATTGATACCATCTGAAGAACACAAATTACAAAGCAACATTATGCTCTTCATGCAACTTTAACCCATTCTCGACTTCTTTACATTTTTTTGGAATTAATACCAATACTGCCCTCGGACTTCCTGTTCGGAAATTACATTCGAACAAAGTAAATAACAGAGCGGACTAATCATTAATTTCTTCAGTAATTCATTCTTCATTAAATCATTCATTCATATGTTATTCATTGGCGACATAGGTCAGACTCGGTAGCATAGTTGTTTGAGGCACTATGCTACAAGCCGAAAGGTCGTGAGTTCGAGTCCCGATGGGGTGGATTTTTTTTCAATGGACCTAATCCTTCCAGCCGCACTATGGCTCTAGAGTCCACTCAGCCTCTAACAGAAATGAGTGCCAGGAATATTCCTGAAAGGGGGGAGGGGAGGGGAAGGGCGGCCGACGCGTAAGGCTGACAAATCACCGCCATCTGTGAGCAGATTGTCTAGAGAAAATACGGGAGCCTCGGCGTCTCACAACCAGGAGTCCTACCGACTGTGTATAGGATTAAGGATTTGAAGGAGGGGCCATGGTCCAACAAAGGGCTGCAGAGCCACTGATAGATAGCATAAGACTTTTCAGTAAAACAGAGGGGGGGGGCAGTTCTCTCCGCTTGTTCTGTCTGTGCTTCCTCGCTTCCAAGCGCAAAGAAATTTTCACTTCACCATTCTCTCCCATCAATGCTACGAAGCATAATTAAAGATTTTCAATGCATTACGTAGAGTACATGCCATGAAACCCCAGTAAAATTTTTTGTAATATATGGACAGTTTAAACTAAGAATAACAAAATAATCTTAAGGTGAGTTTCTGCCAGTTAATACGCTGTTTGGTAATTAGGGGAACATAAGGTTGTTTTTTAAACATACTCGTATTATACATAGAATTACTAAACTTATTTCGAAATATTTTCTTCCACAACGAAGAGAGCAAAATATTAAACATACGGCTGCATGCTCGTGGAAGTGCTTCACAATTTACACTTTCCAACTCATCACCGTATGGCAAATCTATAAACTGCAGACAAAATAAACAAACAAGCCCCGTGGTTCCAGTCCGCAAGCGAACTATGCCGACTGAGCGACCGCCGCTTGTCGGCAAAGTTAATGTCAAGAGTGTCGTGTGGTCAGCGCAACGAATCCCCACGGCCGTTAATCTCGGTTTTCTAGGCCGGAGCCGCCATTTCCTAGAAATAGCTCCTCAATTACCCTCACGTGGCTGAGTGGACCCCTTTCCAGCCCCACTACTTCTCAGAAAATTCGGTAGCGCCGAGAATCGAATCCAGACCTCTGGATCTACATCCAGGAACTCTGACCACTAGACCACAGAAGCGGTAACAGCAGACACAACTCAATTTTTATACGAGCTTGTAATTACGTCACCATAGAAATGTTAAACTGATACGTCACTGGAGTTCATTAAATAAAAATATATAACTGTGGCCGCCTTGTTGTTGGTTTATATTTCCTTAGAAACAGTTTCCCCAAAATATTTATAATAGTTTAAAAGATACTGCACCAAAAAATCTCAACACTTAATTTCACTAATGTTGTTCCTGTTCCGTATGCTATCAACGCTACGACTGTGCATTTAAAAAGACCATTGTTGCGAGGAAACAAGACGAGGTGACCTCCAGTGACGTGCAGTGCATACAAAACCCGTCAAAATGTTATCAAGTGAGGGTCCGTAGTGAATGAAGCAATAATCTTTCCTGAAATGGAACAAGTTTCTTCGGAACATCAACATCAAGTATTCTGTTATTTAATGAACAGTTTCAAGTGTTAAATCCATGTACGGTAACTCTGGATGTGCTGCATGATATTTGCGGGGAGCAGGTACAATTCTTGGAAGTGGCGGCAGTGGCCTGTTTCTGTTAGAGGCTGAGTCGACCCCAGGGCCATCGTGCGGCTCGAAGGATTAGGCCAATTGAAAAAAAAAATCAAATGAACTCATCGGGACTTGAACCCGCGACCTTCCGGGCTTGTAGCATAGTGCCTTCAACCAACTACGCTACCGCATGCCCCGCATTATCTCGTTGCATACAATTACTGAGGGTCTGGTGCATATTTTGTTGGTGTGTTGGTTTTCTGCCGGTCACAGTAGCCAAGTAGTCTGAGACATATACCGTCTTCGCATGAATGTTTGGCATGTGTATGTATTTATTCTGTGTTTATGTTGTCATGTGTTTAGGTAGAGGCCTTGCAGCGAGCTGGTCACTCGTCCAAGGAGTCATACCGTCTGTAAAACGATCAAAATAAAGAACAACCTCGACACCGTGACGTATAAGAAGAACGGATTAAGTAAGTTGGTCTTTATTTGCTGCTGTGTGTAGCTACACAATTTGGCTTGTGAGACTGTCATGCTGTCTGTATATGTCAATGTCCGAGTTTCTGTCCCACCATTCAAACTTTTGAACACCTTCACCTATTTTCACGAAAGGGAGTACAAATTTTGTGCCACTGGAGGTCACATAAATCTTACATCTCATAGTTTTATAATAATTAATAAAAGCATTACAGACATGAGGATCGGTGGGGCAGAAATGACACTAATGAAAATACATTTAAGAATTTTAAATTATGTAAGGTATTAGATTAAAGAAATAAGCAAATTTTTGGTTAACTTTTATAAAATAAAATATGATAGCAGCAGGCCATGGGAATAAACCATCCGGGCCATGTACGTAAATGCTTTTATGCAAACATGCATAACATTAGAC